TATACACATTTTTTTTGTATAATTTATACTTTATTAATTCACAACAAAAATGCAAGTACAATTAATAAATCCTATTCTAACTTCTATTTAACTATATATCCTATTCTAACCTTACTATTAACCTAAACCCTAACCCTAACTCGAACCCTAACCTGAACCCGAACTCTAACTCTACTCTAGTGATGTGGTAGAATTATCCCAATGATGTAACTCTACTTTAATCTACACTAACTCTTAAACAGAATTCTTCTCACCTATACCATACTGATCTGCTATAATTTTACCTTAACATGAACCTGATCCCAACTCTAACCCCGAAGCAACCAAGAAACAATGGTACCAAAGTAATGGCTAAACAGCAACACACAATACCAAAAAACGATAATACATAGCACATCTGAAGCAGCTAAGAAACAATAATACACGGCACCAAAAAACTAACTACATCATCGAAATCGAATGACACAAATACAAATAATGGCATTACAATACAAAATGAGAAGCTGGTTAATTTACTAAATATATATATATATATATAAAAACAAAAAAAAAAAAAACAAAAAAAAAACAAACAAACAAAAAAAAACAAGACCACCCACAAGGACACCAGCTAGTGACAACACCAACGACGACACAATTACAACACCAATGACAACACTAACTACGACACCAGCGATGACATTAACTATAACACTAGCAACGATACCAACTAGCAACAATGCACCAATGATGGCACCAATAACGACACCAACTATGGCAATAAAAAAAGATTAGTAAGCAAAGACAAAAAAAAACAAACAGATAAAAAAAATAATGATTATCAACGATGATCATTATTTTTATATAATGCACATTGGGGTACACAACTATGCGGATGCACAAAAAACATTTTCTCTATATAATAAATTAATAAAAATGAGTATTAATTAAAAAAAACCCAAACTAAAAAAAGAAAAAAAATTGAACCAAAATAAAAAATAAAAACTAAAAAAAAACCAAAAATAAAAAAATAAAAAAAATAAAATAAAAAAATAAACAAAAGAAGAAGAAAAATCAAAAAGAAAAAAAAAAAAGAAAATGATAAAAAAATAAAAAATTTGAAAAAAATAAGATAAAATAAAAAAAACTAATAAGAAAAATAAAATAAAATAAAATAAAATAAAAGGATAAAAAAATAAAATGAAAAAAAATAGGGTTAGAGTCTTGTAGCCTAGTGGTTTAGGTGCCTAACCCTCCACAGATGAGGTTAATAGTTTGATTATAGCTGGTATAATTAATTTAATTAATTATCTCTGTAATCTTCAGGGGCTTTCAAATGCAGAACCCTGTGGTAGTAAGACATGTGATGTATATATTTGGCCTATAAAGAATTCTTGGAAGTAGCACCAAGTATGAAGAAGATTGGGCACTATGTGTGATATGGGTCATAGAAGGTTTACTGCAGAAGGCTGTACGTGTGAATTCACGATTAGCAAAGTAGCACCAACAACCTTAAGGCAGCATTGGGATCTTGATTGGAAGAATAGCTGTATACAGTATTTCCAGAAGTGGTGAGAGAAGCAGTGAACATAGTAAGGGGCTGTGGTAAAAGGATAGCTTTACCAAATATAGAACACCTCTGACACAAAAGAAACAAGGAAAACCAGCTAAAAGAAACTCCAAAAAGCATAGAAGCAAGTGATCTGGTAGTATGAAAATAATGACAGCCAGGGAGTAATGTGTTATACAACCTATATAGAAGTCAATGATGAAATATGCAGAAGCGTGGGTCACTGGCTTGTGACAGTGATTAAATGAGGTATATAACTCCCATCCTAAGAATCTAGACTTCTGTAACACTATACTGATAGGGAGTATTATAAGAGGAACAGTAGCCTAATTTGGTGAAATACGACGTGAATACCTGGATTAATGTGAAATAACACCCTAGTACGGCAGCAGGTGGCTTAAGATACGAGTCTTATAACCTGGCAGCACCTGGCTTGAGATACAAATTAGGTCTTTAAAGTAGCTCTTCAAGGACACCAAGCTGGAAGCACGAAGAGCGCCTACTCGAAAGACACCAATTTGGAAGTAACACAAGACCCAAATTAGGAGTAATGTGATAAGTAATGAGGGGTGAAAGTTAGTTAGTGAATGTTGTATAGTAGTATATAAGTGGGATATATATGATAAAAAATAGGTTTGGGTTTGGAAACCATCCAGTGAGTTTGAAACTAGCCTGGTGCAGAACAGTTGATAAAGAGGTAAAATCTTATATAGCAGGTTGCATATAGGTACTCAAGTTAGTAACCAAGTGAGCTGATACTGTATATAGTAGTTAGTTGTAATTGTACTTATAACATTTGTAACCAAAAATACCTTAGTGTAAAATTTAATAAAACAGTAAAAGCAAAACTTGCCGAATTAAAAAAAAAAAAAAAAATGATAAAAAAAAATAAAAACTAATGAAAAAATAAAAAAAAAAAAAAAAATGATAAAAAAAAATAAAAACTAATGAAAAAATAAAATAAAACAAAAAAATAAAAAAAATAAATAAAAAACGATAAAAAATAAAATAAAATAAAAAAGATAAAAAATAAAATAAAAAAATAATAAAAAATAAAATAAAATAAACCACTAAAAAATAAAATAAAAAAAAACTGCTAAAAAATAAAATAAAATAAAATAAAATAAAACAAATAAAAAAACAGATAAAAAATAATAGAAAAAAAAAAAAAAACTTATTTATAAAAAAACAATAATTTAAATAAAAAAAATAACTCAAATAAAAAAAATAACTTAAATAAAAAATAATAATTTAAATAAAAAAAAAATTAAAAAAAATTCAATAAATAATCAATTCTAATTTTTTAGAACTATTCGGATTGAATTAAGATTCTCTTTCATGAATCCAGTTATAATTCAAATTAAATTTAGTTGAATCGATAATTCATTGTATAGATTTTTTCTTTTTGAGCTTTTAACTAAAGTTGCTCAGAATTAAATAATATTTACCTTATCTTATAAGTGAAAAAAACAAAATTTTCTCTGAAACTAATAATTTTAAAATTTGTAACATCATAGCCAATTAATGACTAGCAGTTATAACATTAACAAAATTAAAATTCTGAATTCCAAAGAAGGTAATACTCTTTTCATTTATAAGATGAGATGAACAGAATTTAATTCTGAAGAACTTTAATTAAAAGCTCAAAAAGAAAAATCATCTCAGTATTTAGAAAACCGACTATGCCATTTATAACCGAACTCATACATAATGACTGCTACAAATAGTAAATAACCTCATGTTTGTTGATTAAGTATCACAACTACAATAGTAGTACAAGAACTTTACACAGTGATTAGGTTCTGTAGCTGCTATAGTAATACAAAGACTCATGTTGTGATTAGGTTCTATAGCTGCTACAAGCTGTATAAAGATCTTATTTTTAGTAATTAAGCACTATAACTATGATAGCAGTGCAAGGATCTCACGTTGTGATTAGGCCCCATGGCTGCAATAGCAATGCAAGACCTTATGTTGTGATTAGGCTTTATGGCTGCCATAGATAGTGCAAAAACATCATGTTTGGTAATTAAACACTACAACTACGATAGCAGTACAAGGATTTTATATTATAATTAGGTTCTGTGGCTACAATAGCAATATAAAAACTTCATACAATTAGGTTCTATAACTGCTATAGCAAGTGAAAAACCTCATATTTAGTGATTAAGCACCACAATTATGATAGCAGTACAAGAATCTTATGTTGTAATTAGGCTCTGTGGCATAGCAATGTAAGGACCTCATATTGTAATTAAGCTCTATAGCTGTTACAGGCAGTGCAGGACCTAGGGTTGGGCATTTTGTATAAGTTTTAAATTTTTGATATAAGTTACATATAAGTTATTTCTAAAATCACTATATGTATCTTAGTATAAGTTTGCAAAAGCATGTAAGTTACATGTAAGTAAAATATAACTTACAAAATTTGCCAACTCTAGCAAGACCCTTATGTTTGATGATTAAGCTCCATATCTACAAACCTTATGTTGTGATTAGGCTTCATGGCTACGATAGCAATGCAAGGATCTTATGTTGTATTTAGGTTCTATGCTACCACAGGTAGGCAACCCCCTTATTTTTGGTAATCAAGCACTGCAACTACGATAGCAGTGCAAGGACCTTCTGCTATGGTTAGGCTCTATAGCTATAATAGTATAAATTAATCAAAATTCAGCTAAATAGAAATCAACAATATGATTTTCATACTTACTGAATATGGTTAAGTATATTACATAGTTTAAAAAAAATTTTTTTAAACAAAAAAGGCTATTATATAATCTACTCTAAACTATTAAATAAAAAATTAACTAAAAAAAAGCTAAAAAAATAAATTAAAAAATAATTAAAAATATTTAATTTTGTTATATAATTTAATTTTTTTTAATATTAATTTTTATATTTTTTAAAAAATTATAATATCTAAAAATCTAAAAAATTAGAAACTCAAACCCAGGCATGGTCCTAAGAGCTAGTTTATTAAATATCTAACTCTAGCGGCTAATAATAATGTTCAGGTTTAATTTAATTTGGGTGCTATATATTTTAATAGTAAATTAGAAATTCAGATTAACAAAGTTAAATATTTAAGGCAGGTTCTTTTCTCTTTTTAAAATAAACAATTTTTTTAATTAATTAATTTTTATTAATAGTTAATTAATTCCTTTTTTAATTTCTTACTGATATAACATTTTGATATATAATTCTACAAGATTTATAACAGCAAAAATTATTGTTATATACTTTATTTGTAAATATTCATTAGAAAGTATTCTTTTGTTTAAATTATTAGGTTTCAATTGTTTAATTGAAATTTGATTTTATGTGACTTATTCATTAATTGCAACCATTTATATTTTATGTATTCTTGTATGTTTAAATAAAGTAATGCAAATTAGCAGACTTTTTTAAATATATTAAATATGAATTTTAGTTATTAAGTTATCTTAAAATGTCTTATCAACTTTCAAAATTACAACAAATAGATGTAGTAATGCTTTTAAATAATTTGAATTCATCTTATAAAAATAAAGAATTCTCTGATACAAAGATAATTGTTAGTAAAGAGGGAAAAACTAAAAAAATTTTGCTGATTCTTTTATACTTAAGATACATTCTCAATATTTTAAATCAGCCTTGTTAAAACGCTGGAGTTGAAGGGAAAATTAATATTTTGTTATAAAAAAGCCGAATGCCACACCCAATTTTATAAATATTATTATTAGATTTCTTTATAGTGTAGACATCAATATATTACATAATATGAGAACACTTTTAGATACATTTTTGCTCGCAAGCGAAATGGATATCACATATTATATAATGAGTTGAAGTCATTTTTCATCAAAAATATTATAACTATTATGAACGACAACTGATTATTAGTTTTAGAATTTATTAAGATATTTATTTTGTATGATGATTTGAAAAAAGTATTGCTAAAAGCTTTGTGTTTGAATCCAACACTATTATTTGACATCAATAACAGAGAAATTTCTAAAAATATTCTCTATAAATTAATATCGAGATCAGAGTTATATTTGAAAAAATATAGGTTATTAAATAAAATTATTTAATGGTTGTTGAATACAAACAGGTTTCCAAATAAAGTATATTTAATGAATATTACAAGGTTCAACCAGATTACTTCTAGCGAAATTAGTAATATAAAACTTAAATATTATAGAAAGAAAAATATAAATAGTGATATACTTAACAATATATTTAAAATTGTATATAACTATTATGATACTTTCAAAAACAATTACTATGATATTCAAGATGGTAATTTTTGCCTCAGATCTGAAATTATAGATTTAGACACAACCACAAAATTAATCACATGGATAAGCGGAAATGAATATAATTGTTAGTACAAGTTTGAGCTTTTATTTAATATAAAGAATGATAGTTTAAAGTTAGAAACCTTTCATCAAAAATATGATGAAAAAGGACTCACTATAGTAATTATCAAATTACCTGATAGAGATTTAATAGGTAGTTATAATCTATTAGATTGGAGTTATAATCTATTAGATTTGAATAGTTGGAAAAAAACTAGGGATAGTTTTCTATTTAAAAAAATCAGGTAACTATAAGAAAGTAAATATTAAAGCAAGATATAAAAAAATGGCCATATGTTGTAAAAATGTATATAATCAGCATTTGAAGCCGATTTGTATATTCAGGCTAGTTCAAATATTTGTATAGTTAAAGATTTATATTATGAAAAATTATATATATTAGGAAATTACAGAATGATATCTTACGAGGTTTTAAGGATTATCAGACAAAGATAATTAAAATAAAGTTAATCTCCATAGCCAAACTTCTTTATAATCACACTTTTTCATATTCCAAGTGAGTGAATTAAAATTTTTTTTTTTATTGTTAATTAAAATGCACCTATTTGTATTTTTCAATTAGGCAATATTGTTACAAAGTTTAAACAATAATTAGCTTTAAATATTTTTTTAAAGTATTCTATACAAGATTATTTCCTTTAAATCATGTGATTATTGACTTTAAGATATATGGGTGTCTAGCAAAACCCATACTATATAGGTTTTGCTAGGCAACATAAATTTAAATTTTCATCAATCAAAAATGGACCCAGTATTATTAATAATATCTAGTTGCAACAGCAATTGTAAAAATTAAATTTATTACTCAGTGAACTGAATTAATAATTTTATTAATATATAAATTACATATAATAATAATTTAAAAAGTAAAATTTCAGTTGAGACATAGTTTGAATTATATAAATTAGAAAAAAATATCAAATTATAAAAAATGTCTAATTAAATATAATTATATTAAATTATTAATTGAATATTATATGTTTAAAAATATAATTTTTACTTTGTGAAGTTTTTAGAGGTTTAAAATTCTTTAACCAATTTCTTATTGTATTATATTTGTCTCACATAATTGAAAAATGCTTTTTAATTTGGACAGTATGCAAAGAACTAAATATGTTACACTACCAATCACATTGAAAGCAAATAGAATTATAACTAACCAAAATGCTAAATTACAAAATTAAAATTAATAATATTATAAATCATTTATGATAATTTAAAAAATAATATACCAAAAACCAAATAAGGATTATAATTGTAAGTTGAAAAATATTTTGCAAAAGTATTTGATGTAAATAAAAAAATTATTAAACTATTTGTAAATATCCATGAAAGAACAAAATTTGTTTTAAACAATCTATAATAATCATCTTTCTTAATAACGGCATTTCGATGTTTTTTATCATTTGGTTTATTTTTTGGTTCGCGGATAATATTAGCATATACAGCACCTATATCATTTTCTTCAATATCATCAATTTTAATTTTGATAGTTTTTGGATCATCTTTATTTTGCACTACTCCAGTATTATTATTATTTTCTTTTATACCCCATGAAGCATCATGAGTATTGCAAAAAGCATAAATCATAAAAATATTGACGTAGGAAGGAACAAGTAAAAGGTATTAAACTAAACAGCTAAACATATACCACGGTTCAAAATAAATAAATGATAAAAAAAGATATAGCAAAAATATTAAAGCAACAGAAATTACGATATCATGAAGTGTTGCATTCTTTAAAGCTTTTTGAATACTCGAAGGGTTCTTAAAATCGATTGGTGATACTGCTTTATATACAGTGAAATACATAATATAAATTGAACAGTAAATCATAAATACTATGATAATTGCAAAGAGAACTATACAGAGTGTGTGTATATCAATTTTGTTCCTTGGGGATGATTATCCATTGAACAAATAAAAATTATAACAATAATTATTAAATACAATAATCGAGCAACTTCAAATAAATTATCTTTATGACCATTGAAAGGATTGGTTATAGGACTTGAAGTTGTGGATTGAATTAAAAAACCAAATGCCAAATAAAAATTTGCCTAATTTAAGCAAAAAATAAATAAAAATAAAATAAATAAATATCAATCTTAAGCTTTGTTTGCAAGATTTATCATATTTACTAAAGAGAACCAGTTAAAGATTAATTGTATATCATTATAAATAAATTGAATTTGTAATAAAACAGCTGTCCAGATCTCCAAACAAAAGTAAATTTGGCAATCAAATAGAACGTAGTAAAGAAAGATCTATTTAACCAGTGATGATGTTGAGAAATAAATTCTGACACATTGTCTGAGACATCAGTTTCTGCTTTAGCTAACTAAATAATAAAAATTTGAATGAGTAAATATTTAAATAAAATAATTATGTTGAAGACATCTATACTTAATGATTACACAAAATATTATAATAGTTAAAAATAGAAACACTTCATGTAACTATTGAGAATAGATGTCTTGCACTATATTAATTTGTTTATTCGGACACCCGAGCATAATGAAGGCTAAGTAATTTTTGTCTGTCCGCATGCATGTTCAAATTTGTTAATTTAATATAATAAAATATATACATTAATAATTCTACACATTTTCCTAGTAAATTAAATTGTTACCTTTATGTACTTTAATTTTCATAATTCATTTTTTTTAATAACAAGCTCAAAACTTAATATACAATCTTTTGCAAGGTACATGTTTGCTTCAAATATACCAGTCTTAGTAGCACCTGAATTATCATAAATAGTTTCACCTTTAATATATTTTTCCAAAGATCTATTCATTAATGCTTCATATTGATATGCAGAGAAAGCTCCTAGTAATACTAAGATATAATCAAAAACAGATTCTGACGGCTTGTCTAAGATATTAAATATTTTATATTCAAAATTTTGAGATGTGATTAAAGAATTAAGAAGGTTTTTATATTTATGACCAAAATCTACTTTAATTTCTTCACAAGCACTACTGATATCATTATCACAATCAAAAGCTAAAAAATATATATATATCTCTATAAATATTAATGTGAAAGCAATTATCACAGGCAGTGTTTAAAATTTGATGTTCTCTGTGTTCTCAGAGAATATTTAACAATTTTTATGAACATGAATTACTGGAAAATGTTCTCTATTTGAGAACATTTAATAAAATTTTTTAATATTAAAAATTTTTGATTTTCTAATACTGAGAATATTAAAAAATTTTTGTTAACATTAAAATTTTAAAAAATGTTTTTTTGAGAACATAAAATCAATTTTGAATTTTAAATACTGGTTACAGGTAATACTAAAATTAGCTGATGCTAAGATCTAAGAGTATCTGATTAAATATTCTATATTTATTTCACAGGTCTTATATAACAACCTGTGCTTTTTTCTTTGGTTATTGTACAGGATTGTATATCAGACACCATGAAATAATATAGTTATTGTATAGGTATATGAATAACTTGTAGCCTTTGGCCACAGTTATTCACTATATACCCATACAATAACAAGTATATATTTATTAGTAAAAACCTTAAATTAAAAAATTTTTTAAAAAAGAGATTAAATATAGTATAGGTTTCCTTCTATTACTTTTTCTGTATGTGTGACAATTAACAAGTATAATGCTAATTAAGTAATTCGGGCCCAATTAAGCATTACACACATTGTTTGTTACACTCACAGAAAAAGTAATTAAAAGGATCCTAAAGTTCAATTTTTAGCATTAACCAACTTCAAACAAATTAAATAAGCATACCTTTTTACAAGTAGTAAACTGAGGTTTTTGAGGATTTAGTTCTCACATCAAGCAAAATATAAATTTTTGGTTTCAAATGAGCCGCAAAAGCATTAAAAGACCAATGATAAGAATTTATTTTTTTTGCATTTTTTTGTTTTAAACAAAACGTAACTTGCACTAGAATTGGGCTCCTTTGGATAGCAATACATCACTATGGCAATAAATTATAAAACCCTATTTTAAATTATTTTATTTTATTTTATTTTAAATTATTTTAATTTAATTTAATTTAATTTAATATAATTTATTTTAAATTATTTTTTATTTTATATTTCTGTATAATAGTAAAATAGTGCATAGAGAGTTATTTCGAATTTTGGCCTGAATTAAGCTTAATTTAGGCTGAAATTCGAAACCACACCCAATTGTGTTATTTCGTAGTTATACAGATTTTTTAATTTTTACTTTTTTATATATTCATTTTACCGGGATGCCAAAGAGGAGGGGGCGATGTTAACCAAAAAATTAACTTCAAACGGCCTAAATATTATACCAATTTTTTTAAGTGTGGATCTTACACGTAACATTTCAATCTGCTTTTTTTTTGTTAGCCGTTTCTAGTATTTAGAACTTATATATATAGTTAATATGACTAATACTATAATAAATAATAAAAATATTTACTTCTAAGTGAAGTTCTTGGGGTTATTGATTATTTTTGATTATTTTGTACAATGAATATAAATGTTCTTTTGAAGGTGGAAATTGTTTTACAGTGATTTTTTGTTAATGAAATATTACATTCTCAAAAAGTACTTTAAACTGTATAAATAAATTAACATAGCAATTGATTTATATTAGCCAATCAGACGAATATCTGTCTATGAGAGGCTATAATTTCATTAGCAGTAATTTTGGCCTAGCTTTTGATCATCACTCTTAACTAATCAAAATCGAGAATCTGCCAGTTTAGTTTTGTTGTGGCACCTAGAATCAATATTCTAGCACATACTACACTAAAAGTATAGCACTTTTTTTAAAATGCTAAACTTTTTAAAGACAAATTATTTCAAAAAAACTAACCAGATCTTTATACACAGAAGTGAACTCTATAAAGTTATTAGTTAATTTTTTTAAAAAATTTCTAATTTTCAAATTAGTATGACTCTTTATAGAAAATTTCTTTTAAAAAAATTAACTAATAACTTTGTAGTGCTTAGTTCTGTATATAAAGTTAATAGTTGTTTTTTTAAAAAAGAACTTGTTTGTAAAAAGTTTTGATAGGTTAAAAAATACTAAGTTTTGGCGCAGCATATGCAAGAATGTTGAAATATATTAATTTTATTAGTCAATTGCAGTCACACAAAGTTGAACTATTTTATATGTTGTTTGGTATAAGCTTTCAGCACTATAGCAAATAAAATTATAATAATTTTGATGCAAATTAACTCAATTTTAATCACATTGTACCTTACAAATAATAGACAAATAATAAACAAAAAACACCAAACAATTTCTCATTATCGTTAATATAAAGCTCTACCTGTTTTCCTAAAAATTATAATATGAAATGAAATTTGAGAATTGTACTATAATTAATATGTAACAAGTTAGTATATAGTAATATAATACAAGATAGTGTGATAGAGAAATAGAACATATAGTATACTTTGTATAGGGAATAGAGTTAGAAGAAGCTAAAGCATATTAAACAAGATGGTAGAATAGAATAGTAACATAAAAAAAAAATAAAACTTTTTTCTTTTCGAAAACTTAGCATAAGAAAGATTAGATCAATCGAATTATCATATGGTCCATGTGATCTATGTGATGTTCAATCAGGTACGAATTGTAATAGAAAGTCCAGAATTGATTAATAGATGATGTATATATTAATTGCAAAAGTCAGCCATATCATAGTAATAAATGTCATAATAAATTAGAAAGATTAGTATTAATTAAAAAGTCAAATATGTATAAGGAAAATATAATAAAATGAAAAAAGCGAAAATAGTCGTATAAAATTGAAAGAAAAAATAAAGAATTTATTAGTGCTTTTTATATAATATACTATCCCAATCAAAGTAGTATCCTTGTGTGATCTATAAATATATTGCTCTACTTTTGAGAAAGATTTTAGTAGCTTTGACTACTATTAATGCCCTTGTCAATAGTATACTTTATTATAACTTCTTTTAAACAATTCAAATGCCTAGAACGTAAATAAAATTTCAATTATATTTTATTATCAGTTAATCAAGATATCACACATAATTTTTTATTATATGATTTTTATAAATTACACAAATCGATGAAATCACATTTTTGAAATTTTCTCCCAAAGTCTTAGTCACAACATATAACATTTTTAAAACAAATAGGTTGCCAGAGCTTCAATTAAGCAAACGGTATAAAGAATATGAAAAACTAACGTTATTAGATAATGCAAAACCCTTTCAAAGATGGGCAATTGTTTTGTCTTCTTTCTTAAAATTCTTTTGAAGTTTTTAAAATCTTGATGTGAAAAATGGCTTGTTAGATACACACAAGTGGAAACTTTCTGTAAAATGCATTTTTGAAAGAAGGGTATCTTATAAATATAAAGTAAATTAAGAAAAACTATTTTGTAGTATATAGATTGCAATTTGCTAATAAGGTTTTTTTTTAATATATAGCAACTTATATCTATAGTAAAATTATATTCTTCAATTATTTATACGTTTGCTGTGGTATAATTTATTGCATGAACAAAGCTTTACAAGAATTCATAATATAAGCCTGGTGTTAAGAAAGAGGACAAATTTGACAAAAAAAAACAGACACAAAAAATTAATTATCTTACGAACTATTGATTAGAATTATATAATTTTGGTATCGTTCGGTTTGTCTTATTGAGACAAATCGAACAGTACTGAAATTATATAATTCTGATTAATAGTTTGCGAGATAATTAATTTTTTGTGTTTGTTTTTTTTTGTCAAATTTGTCCTATTTATATAATTAGTAAATTAGCAATAAAAATACTGTATATTAGTCACACAATTTGTCACACTATATAAAATTACTATGAACTTTGCAGCTTTGATGTTTTTCGATCTATATATTAACTTAAAATTAAATTCTACAATTATTTAGAGCATGAAAAGAAGAAATTTTTAGCTTTATTCAATTATAGCTCTATTATTTTTGCATATTTTAAAAATATAACTTTGCCAAAAATAAAAATTTATTAATTCTAAAGTGATAATTATATGTAAACACATGCTCTGAACAAGTTTACTTAGAAGATTAAAGCAAGTTACTTTGATAGAAAAATAAGTTAGCTATATGCTAAAGGTAAAAATTCATGTTTTTCTATATATAACGTTTTTTTTGCTTAAATAATCTGCTTTTATCTTTTAAGTAAAGTTGTTCAGCATAAAATTTTATATTTATATAGTTTGCCGTTTTTTGTTTTTGCAAACTTTTTACTAAGTGAAATGGAGTTAAAGTTAGAAAAAAAATTTTTCTAAAAAATTATTTTTAGAAAACTTTTTTCTAACTTTAACCCCATTTTTCACTTAGTAAAAGGTTTGCAAAAATGAAAACCAACAAACTATATAAATGTAAAATTTTATGCTGAACAACTTTACCTAAAAGATTCAAGCAAGTTATTTAAGCAAAAAAAAAGTTATATATAGAAAAATATAAATTTTTGCCTTTAGCATATAGCTAACTTATTTTTCTATCAAAGTAACCTTCTTTAATCTTCTAAGTAAACTTGTTCAGAGCATGTATTTATATATAATTATTACTTTAGAATTAATAAATTTTTTATTTTTGGCAAAGTTATATATTTAAAATATGCAAAAATAATAGAGCTATAACTAATTGAATAAAGCCAAAAATTTCTTTTTTTCATGCTCTAAATAATTGTAGAATTTAATTGCCAAATTAAAACAACAATTACAAGCCCAAGTTGAAATTTCTCAGAAATAGAAGTTTTATTTTTTTGCACTTTTTAGTGTTTTTTTTTTTTATTAACTTTAAATAATTTTTGCTTTTGCTAAAGGAGCAGAAATTAAAATTAAAACTTTTTTAATGGCTTTTTGGAATTTTAAGTTAATATGTAGATCAAAAAACATTAAAGCTGCAAAGTTCATAGTAATTTTATATATTTTTTATTATAATTTTATATATAAAAAATTTACATGTGGCATATTATATGACTAATATATAATAATAATACTATTTTCAATAAAAAACAAAATTTATACTAAAATTTTTTATTAATTCAATTAATACAATAATACATAATTAATACAGTAATATAATACATGTTAACTATTTGAATTATAAGTTCGTATAGTATAAGTGGCTACAGTAATAATTTTTTAGCTTAAATCTTTTGTTTGATTCAACACAGTTCATCCTTAACAATAAAACATAATTACAATATTTTAGTACTTCGTTTATTTTTTGTTAAGGGTAGAGTTTTTGTTTACATATTTTTTTCATACAATGCACAAACAAATATGCATATATAACTAAATATGTAAATACAATTGGTTAATTTTACAGATTTTTAATTTTTAATTAGTTTATTTTTGTGCAATGTGCAAACAAATAGTAAACAAAAACTCTACCCTTAAAAAGCTTTTAAAATCGAAGTAAAGTTGTTAAGAATATTTATATTACATAAAAATACCTTTGTAAATCAGCAAAATGTAAAGATCTATTGTATTGCGAGTATTATAGAATATGAAATAAAAGGCTATCTTCGTAAACAAAATTCTTTTAACTTTACTTTTTTATCTTATTTTAAACTTACTTGTCACATAATATTTAACTTTCTGAATACTCACTACATCCCATGAGTGTAGTTTCCTTTTAGAAAACCCCTGAAAACAATGATTGAAAGTGGCTAACTGTTACAATTTATATAATC